TTAATTTACCCCAGAGTGTTACCTCTGGTACCCATTACCTAGAGACTGGGTGAACCCCGGGAACCGCTCAGTTGTGCACACCAGCCGTAGGCTGCAGTGAGTTGCAGTTGGATTTTAAAGTGAGTCTCCTAACGACTGCGCTATATAAAGGCAAAATTCAATAAATACGAACAGAGTAAAGCAATCAATGGAATACATGCCTCAAGACCAGACAATCAAAATGTATCGGGTGACTCATGACCCGACCACTGTGACCTCGTGACCTCTATCATTGAGGCTCATATGAAAATTTGACATCATTTTGGCTGCACACAAAAACTCTATTACATGCACAGGAGAACACCCTTAAATGCTACAGTTTGCCAATATATTCATAACCCAACTCCTAAACTCCCAAACTTCCAGTCAAAATGGACGCTAGGCGGGTGAACTGTTTGGAGCCGAGGCAAATTTTTTGCTTCTGCCGAACGGTGGCCGATGCAGTTTTGCTCCATTTGTAGACTGGATAAAGTTTCGTTGCCCAGCTTCTGAGATGAATGCATGGCGTGACACTGTGAGCTGTGGATTTTATTTGGAATGTTTTTTCCACTGTAACCAATGTGGTGGTGTGAACTGTAGGTTCAGAAAATGGCGCGATGCATGTCGTCACAATGTTGGTGGTGCCCATGGTGATTTAAAATTGATCGCATGGGCAACTGCTGATCTGTTGGTGACTTCTGCTACCATCAATGATGAACTGCATTTCTAATGTCGGACTGTTTGTTCTGTTAGCACTTCGGATGGCTACCGTATGCTTTATTGCGAGTGTATTCTAGATATGCTGAAACAGCAGTCTGTCAATCTTTCCACAAGGGACTGTGATAAACATTATGTGTGTTTTTTCGTTGGCACAGGAGCGGAGCAAAGATGGGGGTGACCCGTTTGCTATGAAGCTGAAACTAAGACTACCAGACTAAACATTTGCGCAGGTGTGAGCGTGGCCAACAGCATTAACTATGCATCTTTCAAGCATGTCACTGTAGACAAGTCGGAAAAGTGACATTTAGGGGGAAATGGACCCTACCAGAAGTGTAAGTTTTTTGGTTTCTCTGAGCAACAGTGTTAAGCTACTTTTACACCCAATGGCAGAAAAGGAATGACTCACAAAAATCAATAAAAGGCACTACTGATTTTAAAGATGTGGAAAAAACTTCATGTTTCAATTACAAAATCTATTATGACATTTATAAATAAACAACAAAAGCTTTTAATAATACAACAATTAATATAAAACATATGTATGTGTATGCACACACAAGTCAAATGTATGTAAATAAAGGGGTACATACAAAAATGAATATATGCTGTCCCTCAAAGAAGGAACACATGGAAAAAGGGGGTAGAAGGAGACCAAGAGAGATGATGCTGGATGGGTTGAAACGATGGCATGGAAGGATATCATCAAGAGAGCTGTTCCAGGCAACCAGGGATCCTGATCTGTGGAGACGCATGAGTGCCCACGCTAGTTGGCAAGGCACATGATGATGATGATGCACATACAAGTCAAAAGTATGTAAATAAAGGGGTACATACACAAATAACTCTTTGAGTCCCAGGGGGTTTAGCCTCAGAGGCCCAAGGGGTAGTCAAAAGAGATGTAAAATCGGCGCATCTTGCGTTTATTGGGCCTCTAAGTAGGAACCTATGAACGTATGTTGCGTTCCTTGGGACTCAAAGAGTTAAACATATTCTCTCCCTCAAAGAAGGAACACATATAATCAGATGCTCAAGTTACGGACAGCTAGAAAGAAATTAAACAACAAACTAAAAATGAGAATTGTCAAATGTTATGTAAACTCAGTCCTGCTATATGGTGCAGAAACATGGACAATGAACAAGCAACTAGACAATCAAATTGAGTCTCTAGAGATGTGGGTATACAGAAGAATAGGACATATTTCATGGAAACAAAAACAGTCAAGTATGGAGGTTCTAAGGTGACTACACATAAGACGAGAGATGCTGTAAGAAATAAAGAAGAGACAACTGGGATAATCTGGCCCACATAAAAAGACATAACACACTTCTGAAGACCATACTGGAAGGAAAGGTCGAAGGCAGGAGAGCAAGAGGTGGGCAATGATACAAGTGGGAGGACGATATCAAGAAATAGACAGGCAGCAGTGTGAGAGAGTTTACAACCAGGACAAGAGACAGGGCATGTTAGAGATTCATTGCAGCCAACCTGCATTGCGGAGATGACACCTCATTGATTGAACAAAGTAAAACATCATTAACACAAATTCTAGAGGACTAAAAACTGAGTTTGTATTTCCAAAAAAAAAAATCATGCCATTCAGGGAGCAATGAGTTGATTCAAGAACCGACATCACAGCACTAGAGGCATAAGCGCATCATCCCCATCTTCAGCAGCCAGAGCTGAGTTCGAATACCATGGCTGCCATTAGCAGTCTGATTATACGTCCATCTTGCCTTTTCTCTGTTACTAGTACCATTGGAATTTTAACTCTTCGCTTGCTGCTGAAGATGGGGACGGAGCACTTATGGGAGTGTCCCGAATACTGTGGTGCCAATTCTTAATTCAACATTCGACATTCTCTCTCCATCAAACACATCTTTCAATTATGTGAAATAAACCACGTGGTTAAAAATGTTACCTCTCAGTGGAATGTGAAAACTAAAACTTGGTTAACCAACAACAACAAAACGCTATAAAAAAGACTTGTTTTATTAAACAATCCCATTTAAAATATGTTAATAACATAAAATTAATGCATACAAAAAAATAAAATATTTGGAACACAAAAGCTGTCTTCGGCGTATATGAATATAAACAGATAATGGCACAGAATACTTAAGTATTTAGTGATTAAAACTTCAGATCTAGATATTTTTAAAGAATTTCACATTCAACCCTTATTTCTTCAAGCCGTGTAGCACTGGTAGTCATGTCTATCCGTAACCTTCTGTCTCGTTTACTTTTAATTAACTCTGACACAGATGATCTTCCATGCCATGATGTCAAACAGTCCAGCATCTGTTCTCTCGGTCTCCCTCTGCCTCTCCTCCCCTCCAGCTTTCCTACTGCCACGATGTACTCCAGTTTTCTCCTTCTCGTCACATGATCAAAGAATGTAGATTGTCTCTTTCTGATACGGGCAATTGGTTCTCTTCATGAATCAGTTTCTTTCAAGACATCTTCATTACTCTTTCTATCTGTCTAGGGTATCCTCCCCATTCGTCTATAAAACCCCATCTCTGCAGCTTAAAAATAAGTGTAACCCTGTTGCCCTGAGAAAGCAATGGCAAATTACTAGATGTCAATTTGCATAAAAAAAGCACAACAGCCAAAACATGCTGGGGATGGTTCTGCAACGTCCTGTAAAGGATACACAACTAACTTTGCCTTGAGAAAACTAAATCACACAATCTTCTTACTAACCCTGTGTTACCAATGTAGAGATCAGATCAGATACAATGAAATCTAAACAAAAGGGGTAGCAGCAGCTCTGGATTTCATTAGACATAAGAGGTGAAATGGTTTGGCCATACAACTCAGATGTCAGCAGACAGTACACCACAGTCACAGCAAGCAATGATGTACAGACCAAGCAGGAAGCAAAGAAGAGGCCGACCATGCAAGCGATGGACAGAGGCAATAACAGAGTCCCTGGAAATCCCAACTAACGAGGCACATAAATGGACTCTTTTCCGTAAATGATACTTCACCTCGACATCGCAAGATACCAGTGGATCAAGATGAGATGAGGTGATGACCCATGTTTTTTAAGCATTCACGGGCGAAAAGGCTGAAATTTCAAAAAAGGCCTATGTGGTGGTGACAGGTGCCGCCCTCTACAAACACCACGTGGCTAATCAGTCCCTCTCGATGCTTCATGAGCCAGAGGAAGCATCCCTAATTAGTCGACTCTTATGACATGCTGGCCAACTGTAAACTCTGGCGGAAAGTTCTGGTTGTTCATTCACCTCTGGACTGCAGTCAAAAACATTAAAAACAGCTGGTTGTGGAGATACATGATCACCTACACCGTCAGGCACAATCATTTACACAAAACTGGAATTCTATTACAATATTGTATTTAAAAAAAAACAATGTCTTATCATTGTGAATTTCAATAACGTGGACACAATCAATACATTGCACAATCTAGGTTAGTTGTGTATCCTTTACAGGACATTGCAGAACCAACCCCAACAGCCCCTGGCTGTTGTGTGGTTTTTCTAGACAAAATATGTCCAGTAGTTTGCCACTGATTTCTGGATGGTCGACTTTCATGATACTACTGTGGAAACCAACGCAAGGCGCATGGCCCGCAGTTGGAATTGAACCCGGCATTACGAAGCGTAATTTCATTTGCTGGAAATAGATTATCTATATCTACAAGGCTATCTCTAGTATGAACTTCATTGCTTGCACCGACCCGAGTGTCTCTTGGCCAAACATTTTGCCTTGATATGTTGTATTTGGGACAGTCTTGGAGGACATGATCTGTTGTCTCGGGTGCCGATCCACAAGTACACGTGGCTGATTCGCCAATCTTAAAGTTGACTGTGTCCTGTTCTAAGGCGTAGAATAATGACTTGCTCTGGTCTGTCCATTATCTTTAAGTGAAAATCACCAGATTTGTATTTTAGTGACTGGCTTAGAGCCAATAAATAATAAAGTACACAATATTCTTTTATAAAAAATACATAGTAAACATGTGGTTAAACTTAGACTTCGGCTGTAACCAGAGACAATCAGTAGATATGATTCATGTTTTCTGCAACAAATTGTTTGTGTCCGCATTATTTAAAACAGAAATTCTGTTGGTAAATAAAATATTATAAGGCGTAAAACGAAGTAAATAATTATGTCATGAATACGGAATGTGGAATTACGTGTAAAAGTTGACTTTCCAAAATTGTATCACAAGAAGCTAATATGCAGATAACTGTTTATGTATCCGCTACACCAAAAGGCATCATCAACCAACCAATCACAAACTGAACCAACTCCGGTCTCGAAAGTAGCCGACCTCGCTCTTGTTGTAAATCAGTGCAATCAAGCTGGCATAGCTTTCAATCGTGATTGGTCCCTCGATCACTTTCAAGGTCTCTCCAGGTCTTTTAGCAGCAAAAACCTGGATAAGAATAAATTTGGGACAATCAGAAAGCAAGCCAAATAATTATTTTATGAATAAAAGGAAAGACACACAGAAATAATATGTAGAAATTAAGATTTTTTTTCAGTCTTATAGAAAAGGAAAAGCACATCTTTTACTGTTTCTTTTTTTGCATTTGACTTTCAACAAGGAAGGAAATAATGATACGCATTCGCAAAGCAACAACAGTCTTTAAAAGCCTTAACAAAGAATGGAGCTCCAAGTTACAAAACTTTAAGACCAAACTCATCATCATGTAGCAGGTGCTTTGCAGAACGTCGCTCTCATCACAGTCTGCCTGAAAGAAACTCGGTCTCTCGCCAGTTCTCCCGCCTTATGTGCTTTCATACTCAAGGAGTCACTTATATCCTGGGCCCATCTTCGTGTCGGTCGGCCCCTACCCCTCCTTCCTGGTACCATGCCTTCTGCTATAATTTTTTCCAATCCGTCGTGGCGCTTGATATGACCAAAATATTTCAGCTTCCGAGACAGAATGCTGTTTATTAGCCAATCTTCCTTGATGTTCAGATCTTTCAAGATGTCAGTATTTCTCCTCTTCTTTGTCCAAGATATTCTGAGAATCTTTCTATAGCATTTCAGCTCAAAAACCCCAATTCTCTTTCTTCAGGACTGAGAGATAGTCCACGACTCACATCCGTATGTAGCCACAGGAAAGATGCATGTTCAAACTACGAATCTTTAATTGAAACATTATTTCAACCAAGACCATCTCCATTTGACGGGCCATGCTACTGACATCACCAAACCGGGCTAACGATATGTTAATTTTTCACTCTGACAGTCCCGTTTTTCGGTGTGTTCCCTGCCGTCCCCGACAAAAATTCTAGGAATAAGCTTAACCCTTGCATTTTCCCAGATACCACATATTTTAGTGTGTACTAAAAATTCCACAGCTTAACAACTATTTGATATAATATCACAATATTTAGTATTTTTGCACCAAATTGAATGAAGAACGAATTTCTAGAGAAAAAAAGATGTTTATTCTGTTTTGCATCATCATCGTCATGGCTGAAGATTAATGCAAAAAGGCAACCGAAAAATCTTTTATCTGACAACAATATAGACCAAAAAAAATGTCATATCTTCAAAAAATATTCAACAAACATTTATCATATTTTGTATTTTTGCACAAAATTCTTCTTCTTCGAGTTCACCAGCTGTAAACTCTGGCGGAAGGTTTTGGTTGCTCGACCACTACTGAACTGCAGTCCTGCTCCAGAACCTGAATATTGCGTGTGCATCAGTTTTACAGATCTCATTCTCTTGAATACAGACTGTTGGTTCCTTGCCTCTCAGGCAGATGCACTCCGACTTCAAAGGGAGCTCACCAATTAGTCGACTCTTACGACATGCTTTTGGGGAGGCAGTGGGTCTATTTTTGTTTTCCCCACAACGGGGCCCCGGAACCCACACGGGGGTGCACAAAATTGAACCGAGAAAACATCTGAGGAAAAAAAAAATGGGGTTTACTTTGAAATAATCATCATCATCATGAGGCTGTAGATTGTTGCAAAAAAAAAAAGGCAACTGAAAATCTTTTATCTGACAACAATATACACTAACACAAAATATCATATTTTCAAAAATACTAAACGAACACTTTTTATATTTGGTATATTAGCACCAAATTAAACAATGAACACATGTGAAATGGGAAAAAAAAGGGTTTACTTTGTTTGAAATAATAATCATCATCATCACGTGGCTGTTGCAAAAAAAGGCAACTGAAAAATCCTTTATATTTATTATAGTCATAGCCATCAAACTGTTCAGTAGTGTCTTCAAATTCCCTTTTTGAAGCAAACTCAGGAAAATCACATGCATCATCAGGAACATTCAGAGAAATATGACCACCAGGATGGTTTGGATAATTTGACGCAATGATGAATATTTTGTCAATGTCTAACCGACATGGGAGCTAACTGAGAAAATTCATCAAATATTTACTTTAAGCACTATGAAGTTATTTCCTTTAATTAATCACACAGAAGTGAATAAGCTAAAGGCTTAAACTAAATTCTTCATAAAAATCGCAATTTTAACATGATGGCGAGTGTCCAAAGCTACAGTCGCAAGAGGTGCGACTTCGGTGGCAAGGAGTAAACGTCGGCTCGTCGCATAACGTGCGACGCTGATAGTCAGTGGGTTAAGAAATTAAACATATATATAGTTACACACAATATGACAACATAGAAACAGGACTGTCCGAGTGAAAAACAACGTAGTTAGCCCAGTTTGAGGACATCAGTAGCATGTCCTGTCAGATGGAGACGATCCTGTTTAAACTCTAACATATGACAGCGAAAGTCGAGAAAACACCACCCCAAAGATTTTGAATGAAAGTTAAGTGCATTTGAAAAAACATTGAGAAAAATCATGAATATAAAATGGGATGAATTTAAAAGGAATGAAATCACATAATTGTCAAATACTTGCGTCGACCGCAATAAGACAAAGAAGGTCGAGATATATTGGGCACACTCGGATATGAAATGAGCAAATTATAAAACAGGCATTGAAAAAGGAAACAAACGGTCTGAAAAAAGGGGACATTCAAAGGAAACATTAAGAAGAACATTATTACAAGAGGCAAACATTTCTCGAGAAAGTTGCGGAGTGGAGAAATCGAATATGAGCCTTATGTGACATCTAACAGTACTCAAAGGATGATGATGATTCGACCTTAAAAAGTGTGGCTGGTAGAAACAAATGAAAAGTAGAACCAGTAAGCTTAAAAATATCACAAACATAAAGTGAATGCAGCGGCCAGAAAGCCTTCATCAGCACACACACAAATCTACAACACCACAAACATAAAATGAACGCAGCAGCCAGATAGCCTTCCTCAGCATACATACAAATCTACAATACCACAAACATAAAGTGAACGTAGTGGTCAGAAAGCCTTCTTCAACACACACACAAATCTACAATACCACAAACATAAAGTGAACATAGCGGCCAGAAAACCTTCATCAGCACACACACAAATCTATAATACCACAAACATAAAGTGAACGTAATCGCCAGAAAGCCTTCAACACACACACAAATCTACAATACTACAATCATAAAGTGAATGTAGTGGCCAGAGAGCCTTCATCAGCACACACACAAATCTACAATACTACAATCATAAAGTGAATGTAGCAGCCAGAAAGCCTTCATCAGCACACACATAAATCTACAATACCTCAAATATGAACAAGAATACACAAAATCACTTAGCTGATGTATCTCTGACAGAAATCACATTGCTGCCAGGCCATAAGAATGTGACGGATAAACAACACCCTTCTTTTTCTTCTGTTCTCTACTCCTGGAATGCCTCACGGCATCAGGGCAGAAAGAGATCTTTGGAACAAGCCCTTCTGTTTGCTTCGTATAAAGTACTTTTCAGTCTCTGATATTTCTGCAGTCCATATTTTGCGTGGTTGACCTCTGGCTCTGTTACCGTTATATCTGTATAACATTGCTCTTTGTGGGCCCCTGTCTGATGCCAAGCTTGTTACATGGCCAAACCTTTTGATTTGTTGTCTACCTAGACAGTTCAGTATTGGTTCTGTGCCGACTCTCCTCCTGATATAGTTTCTAAGTCGATCTTACCTTGTTACACCTATCATGATCTGCAAACATTTCAATTCTGAAGTGACTATTTTCTGTCTTCTGAAGAATGTGTCCATGTTTGACATTTATAGTAGAGCGTTGGTGAGAATATTATGTTGAACAGTGATCTTTTAGTGTTCATATTCATATGAATTTCAAAATTGGTGCCATTTGGACTAAAAATTGATGTGCTTTTTTTGCAGCTGTTGGATTTCTTTATTAATTCTTCTGTTTTCTGAAAAAATGCTTCCTAGTTATGAATCCTTTGCCTGCTTTAACTGGTGTTCATCAATTTTGATATTGGTGGTTCTACCTTTTCTGGAGAATGTCATCACTTCTGTTTTGTCAACACTGATCTTTATATCATAGTTTTCGCATTCTGAATGGAGTCTCTTAATATGTTCTTGTAGCTGTACTGCTGTTGGTGCTTTGAGAGAGTAACACAAAACATACAGTCACAGAGAGGACTACGTACCTTGCTAGTTGCTGCAACAAGGGCGTCGAAGAAGTCATCAACATTGAACGTCGTAGTCTCATTTTCCTTTGGGTTGTACAGAAGAGGATGGTGTGACAGGGTCACCCAGGGTATATCCGAGCACCAAGGGTTCCATTTCTGGCCAAAGGATAGCTGATCTCCCCTGTCCCAGTAGATCCGAACCCCTCCGTGCTTGCGGTCTCTGTAAAAGGCAGTTGTAATTGATCAAGACATTAGGCCACTTAACTCTTTGAGTCCCAGGGGGTTTTGCATCACAGACCCAAGGGGTAGTAAAGAGAGTCATAAAATCGGCACATCATGCGTTCATTTGGCTTCTAGGTAGGAACCTATGAACATATGATGAGTTTCTTGGGACTCAGAGAGTTAACACTTCTTCTTCATGTAAACCTGATGTAAACTCGGGCGGAAAATTTTGGTTGTTCATCCACTTCTCGACTTGTTCCAGAAATTGAGGGCTTGTACACATCTGTTTTACAGATCTGGCTTATCTATAAGCAGACTTTTAGTTCCTTGCCTCTCATTTTTCAACAAAACACCTCTAAAAGTAATATTTTATGACATGCTTGTTGTGTGTGTGTGTGAGGGGGGGGGGGGGGGCAGGTGGTCCTATTTCCCCCCCCCCCCTCGACCACCCTCCAAACTGAGCCCTAGGACCCTCACAGGAAACAGGAAAGTAAACACAATTAATGACTTGGAACTCTGTTTCAATAGTTTTGAACACAGCTGTGAAACCAGTATCTCTGTCACTGCCATAAAATCTTGCTCTGGTAATCAAACCATGGGTGTCTCTTTGGAAATCATCTCATTCACAGTTTAGGTTGTTCTGAGCTCAGCAGAAATCCATTTTCAGCACATCTTTATATTATTTATTTCTTATTTAACAAGTTCACATGAATTATTATTTTACCTTTTGCTGTTACTACCATTATTATTATTATTATTTGTATTATTACTATTTTACTCCCTTATTTATGTTTTGTTTCACATCTCTTCCTATTCCCATATTTCATATTCTGTTATAGCCATTCAAGTGACTCCGTGTGGAGGATCCTGTCTAGCATTATCTTCTTGTTGTGGTGTTTGCTGATAAAGCCTGGTCCAGTGTTGCCACTTGGGATGTTTTACATCCAGATTTAGATGTTTTTCCCTTGCATTTAGATGGTGTTTTTGACATTTAGATGGTAGATGTTTTTCTATACGTTTTTTCATTTGGAGTGAATTTATCAAATCTAACCTAAGAAACAGGATGAAATTTGACCTCCTAAATGCTATCTTGACAATACAATTAGGCCTGACAAGAGGAGGAAAAAGCTGTTCCACTTATCAGCTCCCTGATTGAATATTAAAAGAAATTGGAACAGCTAAAGCATACCAGAGTCATTTTGGATCTGAAGCTTCAATGAATCATTCAAGCTAAGTTTATCCTGAGCATCTTGTAAGGCAGACTTCATTAAAGATGAGGACATGATTTTATAGGGTAAGTCATATCAATTGTTATGTAATTTGTGACTCTTTCCATTTGGATGTTTTTTTCTAGATGTTTTCCATGTACATTTAGATATTTTTTGACTCTGTTGTGGATGTTTTTTGTCCCCAAAAATGGCAACACTGGCCTGGTCGAACTGCTTGATTGTTTCAGTGCGTTTTTTCTTCCACTCTTCATAAAATATCCTAGTTTCAGTTTGTGTTCAGTAATTTCATTTTCTAACAAGGAAGCTTAAGGATGAAGTAGGAAAACCACATAAGGTTTGATACCCTTAGATCTAACTTCAGTCCCGATGGCGGAGAAAATAGGCAAATGCCATAGATTCTGTTCAAACTCCAAAGAAGTTAGGGTGTCCCACACATTTCCATAAACAGAAAAAAAAAAGAATATTTTATCAAATCTGTTTTCATTTAAATAATATGCACTGGATAACTAACATTGCTTAGAACACACTTCAATGCACGACCTCAGTTGCTGAAGAGAAAAACACATACAAGCACAGCTGCAGATATGCTTGTGATGGCGCTGGTGATATGAATTTTTTCTCTTATGTGCGGAAACAGTTCTTGTCATGTTTCCAGGCCTAGCTCCGCCTACTTACACACTAGATCACTTTTCATTCATACTTCGTCAGGCTAGTCAACTTTGCTTAACGTTACAGGGGTGTCTCAGTTTACTGTTTTTTATCGAAAAGCTTTCTCTGCTCTCTTCCACGGCTGGTGATATCGCGTGTTGTATATTCCACGATGTCAGCATTTTTAACGGTCCCAAAACATGCAGAACAAGCCCTAACACAAACTCCCCCCACTCCTACGAGAGTGCTGCAACCAATTCTCCAACGAATTCTCTTTCTCGGAATGAAAATGTAAATAGAAGACAGCGCAGAATGCTTTTTGAGCAAACAGTAAACCGGGACACCCCTGTAACATTGACCAAAGTTGACGAGCCTGACCAACCACCTATCAAAAGTGACAAAAGTGAGACTTATAAGACACAATTAGGACACCTGTAACGGCTATACCTGGCTGATGTAACCTACAGACCAGTGCCAGTAAGGATGATATGAGTGTCTGACATGTCTTCTTCTTCTTCTTCCTCTTCTTCTTCTTCCTCTTCTCAGCATTTACTGGCTTTAAACTTCTGGACTTTGGTCATGATCTTGAGTTTTCAAGCATGCATTTTACAGATCTGGCTTATCTGTATGCAGACTGTTGGTTTCTAGCCTCTCAGGCAGATGCATTCTCACTATAAAGAAAATCCACAATAAGTCACATTTTACTGCATGCTTATTAAACAGGCAGTAGGACTATTGCCCCGTCCTCTCAAAATGGCACTGTGGAACACACACAGGGAGTATCTGACCTATCCAAGAGAGTATCTGTTGATACGGCACTTGATGACTGACAATGCAAAAATTAAGGCACATAATGTATACATCACAATCACATGAACATCTAATCAACTACATTTGAATTTTAACCCTTAAAGGTTTCACATAAATGATTTATAAATAATGTGAGAGCTGCCACAGTGTAGTGGCTAAACATCTGCCTATGGATCCGAAGGGCACTGGTTCAAATCCAAATGGAGCCAGACCTTTTTCAAAAACGATCTTTGGCTTCCAGGTTGACTTAGTCTAAAATGGGTACCAGGACTATTCAAGGGAAGTCAAGGTGGCTGCCGTGATAGTGATCACATCACCCACCAACTGCCCATTGGTCTATAAAATACAGGTCTAGCCCTATACGCCCGATAAGCACAGAAAAGGGTCCTATACATTAAAAAAAAACTCACGGCATAAGTGAAGAGTTTGGATACGTCAAGTCCCCGATGCATATGTTGTGGATTACGTGCAGCATAATACGACGATAATCAAGCAGTTGTTCAGTGATGAAGTTGTACTTGACAATGAACAAGGAATAATCCGTCAACAGCACAATCCGTTCTCGTTCTAAATCCCAGTGGTCGATCCTAAAATAAACCAAAGAAAATTATCTGTACCTTAAAAAAAGTTTTTTACCACAACATCCAGCTTAAGAATGGAGATAGAGGTGGTCACTGCAGCTTTCCGCTGGTTAGAGAACACGACTCACACATACATCGTGATTGTAACTGATTCAGAAAGCATGCTGGGGAAGATCAGAACAGGTATGCTTCGTGCAGAGTGGCATGCTTCGCTGCGGAGGACACGGGTGAGGAGTATTGTCGGGATTTTTTCACCGGGGCACGCCAGTGTGTTGGGAAATGAACAGACTGACAGACTGGCTGGCTCTGCACAACTTGGTGGAATAGTGATACATGATAAGGCAGAAGTCGTTAGTGCCTTGTGGGAGAGCGTGTACAGTTCGGAGGAGCAGATGGATCACCACAGTCTGGTGAGACAGATGCAGGGGGGAGTGAGGAGAGGTTCTGGCAGATGCTCGAGGCTCAGAGTAAAGGCAAGACGGCCATTTAATCAGAATGCTACTAGCACCATTAGTATCGGAACTCTTCCCTGGCTGCTGAAGATGGGGATGGAGCGCTTATGGGAATGCCCCGAGTGCTGTGATGTTGGTTCTTGAATCAAATCAAATCAATCTAAAAAAAGGTTTCAGTTTCTCACTTGTCTTTCTACGAGGGGAAGTCAATAAGTAAGTCACAAATGGTTGTTTTCTCGTACCACAGTCCGCCCCCCAGTAAATTAAAATATCTAATTCATATTCATGATCTTACGTTATTCCTACTGTACACACAATTTATCAGGGAGAAAATGACTCACTACAGGCCGTACCAGAGAAAACAGACAGTACCACAGAAAACAGACTGTAACTTCTTTGCCAACAACCGGTTTTACTGAAAACAGATGGTACCACAGAAAACAGACAGTATCTACTCAGCCAATAAACAGTACCAAAGAAAACACACAGTACCACAGAAACCACACAGTATCACAGAAAACAGTTAAGTTCTCTGCCAACAACTGTACAACAGAAAACAGACAGCAACTGCCAACAACCAGTACTACTGAAAACAGATGGTACCATAGAAATCAGACAGTACCTTAGAAAACAGAAATTACCAAAGAAAACATACAGTACCCCATAAAACAGACTGTAACTTTTCTGCCAACAACCAGTACTACTGAAAACAGACGGTACTACAGAAGTACCAAAAAAAACAGACAGTACTTACTCTGTTAACAACCAGTACGACTTCAGGTCTCCATCGAGCTCTGGTTTAATGATGTTTCTGACATTGCTGACCGCCTTCTGCAAATGGCCGTCCTGTTTTTCAAGAAAAGAATAACATACTTAATAAAATAATTACATATTTAGTTTTGTCAGGTGGTCGAAAAGATTCTCTCCTGGTCTCTACCTCTTCCCCTCAAAGTTTCCTGTCATCAAGACGTACATAAAGTTTCATATGTTGAAGAAAAGGCTATCCTCCAAATAATGGCCACATATTATGGCGGCCAAAAACACACCCTGACATGTTGTAAACATTCAAAAACTTAAACTAAAAAATAATGAGGAACAGAAAAAAAGGGAAAATGACGAAATCGACTAAGCGATAATTCAGGCCTTTATATCTGAAAATTGTGGCACAGAAGTTGCAAATAGTACCCGAAAATCCGCTCTTTGTGGCAGTGGCGCCATTTAAACTCAGCTAAATATGATAAGAACAAGCTGCAGCTAGTGGCACATTGGTAATGCAGTTTTCACCGCCGAGAGTATCCCCCACACGCGCGGTGCAAAGGGCTGCTAAAGTAGATGGCTGCGACTCACGAGCAAATAAAATGAGGAAGCTGCATGACGCGGTAGCTGCTGCTTGTGAGTCCCAGCCATCTAGCCTAGCCGCACTACGCGTGGCGCAGGGGTAACTCTTGGCGGCGAGTTTAACTTTGTGGTTTGTTGCGATTTGTGACATTATCGCTGGAAACTTTTCATACTTTCGCTGCAGTATATTCACCGGAAAAAAGTCCGCAATTTACATGTGATTGAGGTCCTGTCAGTGTGTGTTTTGGCTGCCATAATATGTGGCCGTTATTCGGAGGATAGTCGAAATATCCTTCAGATAATTTCTCTAGGTGATGCAAATGGGTTGGGAAACAAGCAGACAGATTGATTGGCTGGCTCTGCTCCACTACGTGGTAAACTGATGTATGACAAGCTAGACGTTGTGAGGGACCTTTGGGAGCGAGAGAACACTGCGGAAGCGCAAAGAGATCATTGCGGTCTGAGGAAAATAGTCCTGTGGGAAGTTATCAGCGGATCTGGACGACGCTCAGCACTCAAGAAAAAAGGCGAGATGGATACAGAATCAGACAGTTACTGGGTATAGTAGCCTGTAGACTTCCGGTCAAAATGGACGCTAGGCAGAGACACTATTTGGAGCCGAGACAAATTTTTTGCTTCTGCCGGACGGTGGCTGATGCATTTTTGCTCCATTTGTAGACTGGATATAGTTTCGTCGCCCAGCTTCTTAGCTGAATGCATGGCATGACACTGTGAGCTGCGGATTTCATTCAGAATGTTTTTTGACTGTGACCAAGGTGGTGGTGTGAATTGTAGATTCAGAAAATGGTGTGATGTCTGTCGTCACAATGTTGGTGGTGCGGTGCCATATATGATTAAAATTGATCGCTATCATCAATGATGAACTGCATTTCTAATGTCAGACTGTTTGTGTTAGCATTTCGGATGGCTACCGTATGCTTTAATGCGAGTGTATGCTAGATATGCTAAGACAGTAGTCTGTCAATCTTTCCACAAGGGACTGTGATAAACATTCTGTGTTTATTTAGTTGGCACAGAAGCGGAGCAACTATGGGGTGACTTGTTTGCTATGAAGCTGAAACTAAGATTACCTACCAGAATACCAGTCTGTTTACTGTTGACGATAGTAGCGACTACGGTGTTCGGCAATTTGCGGTCTTTTCGGGAATTTTCGTTACCCGGTGACTGTTCAAAACTTGTTTGGAAAATGTTGGCTGGTTTCGTAATCTTTTATGAAATTTTGCGATTGGTGAGATTTTGACCAGCTATAAATAGCTGAAAACGGCGGGAACGAACCCGATTAACAGCGCATGTCTACGACAGCCTGACGTGCTCTGTTTTTCTGTTACATCAGTTTGATTGAAAATAGCGGTAAGTATTCAAGGTTGGCTTTAGGCTTTAACATCACTTGACATGGTAATGCTAGTTATAATTGAATTCTCCGTCCAATTTTACATTTGTATATAAAATTTCTTTCTTATGTATGGCTTAGTCGATTTACAGTAGACATTTTTTCAGGCAATCGCTATTACGGCTGTGTCTTTAAAAAATTGTCTGCCATCTTGTCTTGTAACTTACTGACCTTTAAACCATAACAGTTCTTAAATAATTCCTGTTTCTGGGACGCGAGTTGTAACAGCTGTTTGTTTACATCTCATTTCCACAAAAACCTAGATATCTCGGCTTAGAATTGAAATACAAGCATAATTTAAATTAGGTACCGTTGTAAAGAGATTGTTTACAGCTATTTAACTGTGCTGGTTTTATTGGTATAGGAGCATTTTGAAAATTTGACCAAAGTAACTAGTCAGTTTGCTGTTCAAGAAGACTGGGACAGAGCCGGAGCTATTATATAATTATGGGATTGTTGTTGTTGGTCGATTCCTAATTTAACATTTATTTAGACAAGAACTACTCAACACTGTATTTCACACACTTAACCAAACAGAAAATCAACAATCCCTCCTACCTTATAAGAATAAAAAGACTGCGAGGAGACATCAGATTTCACCAGCCCCGGTTTCACAGAAGTCCTGCTACCGGTCGACCTGACACTGGTTCTCCCGAGGACGCTGCCCGGTCTGTCCCGCGATAAACTCGGCTGGGCGACATATATATCAGGGATACCCCGTTCTACATCCTCTTCACGACCTATCTGTAACGTAGCACCTTCAAATTCTCTCCCAGTTGGCTGTTTATCATCATCTAAGTTTGCCGGATCGTGGATTCTGTTTTCGTTTTCCAAGAAGATTTCCGCCATCTTTCTTCTTATTTGCCCGGGTTTTTGCGATTACAGCTACATAAAATTCGATATTTATTTTATTGTAATGTGTAAAATATCGGAAACATGAATAAAAAGAAGGTATCGATTCGATTTTACAGACAACATAGTGCAGAAATCTTGTTTACGTCGCCATCATCATCATGTGACTCTTGAGAAAAAAGCAACAACAAAAAACTTCAAAGAAGATCAAATCTGAGCATACGCAACCAAATACAAAGAAGACAAAGAAAATATGATTAAAACTGAAGTAATGCAAATCAGTAGAATTGCTAGTCCGCTATATATAGGGTTGAATTGTGCCTGTCTGAAGCGGAGGACACGGGTGAGGAGTATTGTCTGGATTTTTTTCACCAGGGAAGCCGGTGTGTTGGGAAATGAACAGGCGGACAGACTGGATGGCTCTGCACAACTTGGTGAAATACTAGGGCAGACGTGGTTAGGGCCTTGTGGGAGAGCGTGTACAGTTCGGAGGAGCTGTTCGCTGGCTGCTGAAGATGGGGACGGAGCGCTTATGGGAATCCCCCGAATGCTGTGATGTCGGTTCTTGAATCAAATCAAAATCCAAGCCAAACCATTTGAATATCAATTAAGTATATTTTCAGACTGTAGAATGTTTTATGTTCAGCTGAGAATCGACATCACAGCACTCAGGACACCCCCATAAGCGCTCCATTCCCATCTTTAGCAGCAAGTGAAGAGTTAAAATCCCGATGGTACCAGTAACTGTCTGACTGTATATACGTCTCATCTTTCCCTTCAGTGTCGAGGGTCGGCCAAATCCCCTTGTAACTCCTCGCAGCGCCATTCTCCTCAGACCACAGTGATCTGTCTGTGCCTTGGCACTGTTCATTCGCTCCCAAAGGGTCCTCACAACTTCCAGCTTGTCATACACCAGTTCACCACCAAGTGGTGCAGAAAGACGGGAGAATATATCGGAAAATATAAACATGATGCCAACGAGCCAGTGCACTTATATACCAACTGACACAATTATTAAAACATTCAAACATTAGTGTAAGCCCCTAGAAACAGATTGGTAATAGCATATTCATACACTGTGCTACCAGTGCCGAAATGAGATATTATCAAAGGCTAACCTCCCCGTGTGGGTATCAGGGTCCTATTATAGGGAAAACAGGAATAGATCCACTGCCTACCCAAAAGCATGTCGTAAGAGTCGACTAATTGGGAGCTTCCTTCGAAGTCTGAGTGCATCTACCCGAAAGGCAAGGAACCAGCAGTCTGCATCAAAAGAGTCAGATCTGTGAAACGGATGCACACGCAACACTTAGGTTCTAGTAAAGGACTGCAGTCCAGAAGTGGATGAACAACCAGAACTTTCCACCAGAGTTTACAGCTGGTGAACGCGAAGAAGAAGATAAATCAGAAGCTAAACTAATACAATTAACGTGAAATGAGATGCCTGAGAAAACCGCCAACTTATCATTCGATTCAAAGTGATGACTGATACTATTCGACAGTCTGTGGGAACAAAACCGTGCAGAAAATTCACTGAGAAGCAGAAGATCGAATGGTTTGGTCATCTCGTTAGAATCCAGACAGAACAACTACCCACGCAGGTGCTACAATGAAAAGACCTTCTGATGTGAAATCAAGAGGCAGACCTAGGAGACATTGGACTGACGTCATCGATACTGAATGACAATAGCCATTGCTACCTAACCAGCACTTGGTCGCAAACTGTTTCTCCCCACGCCGCTTAATGACAAAAGTGGAAATTGATGAGATCATGAGAATGATTATGATGATACTTATTATGATGATGATGATGAGGAGGATGATTATGATGATACTTATGATGATGAGGATGATGAGGATGAGGATGATACTTGTGATGACGAGGAGGAGGAGGATGATACTTAATATGATGATCATACTTATGATGATGATACTTGTGATGATAATGATAATGATGATGATAAGGTTGATGATGATGATACTGATGATGATAACGATGATGATTATACTTATGATGATGATGATGATGATGATGATGATGACGATGACGATGATGATGATGATAATGATGATGATTATGATGATACTTATGATGGTGATGAGGATGATACTGATGATGACGCAAAGGATATCATGGAATCATAGAATGATAAAGAAATAATCAACGGGACAGATGAAAATTGTAAACTTATTAGACTAATTTGATTCAACAGTCAATGTTTCATAAAATCTGACATAATTTTGAAATGCAACCACTTAAATATGACCACTAAAAGAATACTGTTTAACTTAATGTTCTTACTAATGCTTTGCTATCAGTGTCAAACATGGACGTGTCTCCAGATGACAGAAGGAAAATAGTCTTGTCTTGTCTTGTCTTGTCTTGTCTTGTCTTGTCCACAATTGCCTCACAGCGTAGTGGGAAGTCGCAGTTTTCTATCCTGGGCCAGGTGTGTTGCACGTGTTGTTATTAGTCCGTGTTGCCTCAGGATCTCTGATATATTGTCTATCCATCGTACTCTCGGTCTGCCTCTTGCTCTAGGGCAGTAGTGCTGTTCGTTGTATGCTCGTAGAGGCAGTTGGTCGGTTTGCATTCGCATCAAGTGGCCAAACCACTCTATTTGTTGCTTCTTTATGTATTGCAGGCATGGTGTGGTTCCTACAATTGCTCTAATGTTCTCGTTTCGAACTCTGTCTCTCCTTGTGACATTGGCAGCCTTACGTAAGCATCTCATTTCGCACGTCGTGATCTTTTTCTCCTGTGCTCTTGTTAGGGACCAGGTTTGGCTTTGGTAGCAGAGGGTTGGTATAAACATGCAATTTAGGAAAATGGTCACGACAGAAATGAAATGTTTACGTATTATGCTAGGTGCAACGAGGAAAGATCGACCAAGGAATGATGATATCAAGAGGAGAGTCGGCACAGAACCAATACTGAACTTGATAGGTAGACAACAAATGAAATGGTTTGGCCATGTAACAAGATTGGCATCAGACAGGGGCCCACAGAGAGCAATGTTACACAGACACAGTGGTAACAGAACCAGAGGCCGACCTCGCAGAAAATGGACCGCAGAAATACAAGAGACGCTGAAAAGTACTTTATACGAAGCGAACAGAAGGGCTTATTATAGAGATATTTTCATGCCCTGATGCCGCGAGGCATTCCGGGAGTAGAGACTAAAAGAAGAAGACCGCCACGTCAAAAGGGACAAAAGATGAAGAAGATCATATTTGGGTTCCCGAGTGCTGTGATGTCGATTCTTAATTCAAAATTCCACACTACATTAATTCTTCTTTGTAGGGGTTTTTTTTTTCCTGTGCAACCCTCACTTTTGTATGAAAATATTCCTAAATTTATATATAATCATCTCAGACTAATCTATCCCTGGTCTGTCATTTTCTTCTACTAATACCAGATTTCTTTTGAGGATAGTCTCAAAACGGGTGACTGTTTTCACATTTAACTAAACAAACAAAAAAGGACATTTTTCCCTCGTACTTCGTCTGCTTTCTGCCCTCAATGACTTTCAATCTTGCTGACGTTTATCAGTCGGTCCGATCAGTAAAGAGTTCTGATTCTACAGAACACGCCCTTTCCAGACACCAGATGAAATCCAAATATCAACACTTGTCGTTCAATGGGAAATCGACCAGAAATTCTGCTAGCCGCACAATCTGGACAAACAGTTCAATGGTGTCGGAGAGTTGGCGGCCGATTGAAGGTTAAAAGTGGTATCATACTTGTGTGAGTTGTGTGTGCGTGTGTGTACATGTGTGATCCAGTTGCTATTATATCGGTGAAATTGTCTGTGTGTATGTGTGTGTTACATTTGTGTATATGGTTATGTATTCCAGTTGAGAGATTTGAAGACAACATTTGACAAAACTAAAAGGGGACATAACTATTCAGTATTTGTAATAATACTGTAGTCATTTCCCTTTTCAATAAATTTCATTCAGGTAATCGCGTAACCACATTACAACTTCATAGCCAACAGGTCATGCCATGGTTTCTTTGTTCCTATGCCAAGGAAAATGACACAAAATATCTTCTTCTTCTTCTTCTTCTTCTTCTTTTTCTTCTTCTTCTTCTTCTTCTTCTTCTTCTTCTTCTTCTTCTTCTTCTTCTTCTTCTTCTTCTTCTTCTTCTTCTTCTTCTTCTTCTTCTTCTTCTTCTTCTTCTTCTTCTTCTTCTTCTTCTTCTTCTTCTCCTCTTCTTCTTCTTCTTCTTCTTCTTCTTCGTCTTTCTACTTTATTTTTCACGTTCATCTGCTGTAAACTACGGAGTAAAGTTCTGGTTGTTCGTCCATCTCTGACATTAGTCCTGTTCCAAAACCTTAGTGTTGCATGCACATCCATTTTACAGATCTGGCTCATGTGTATGCAGACTGTTGGTTGCTTGCCTCTCATGCAGATGCATTCTGACTAAGAAGGAAACACCACTAATTAGTAGACTTTTAGACATGCTTGTTAGAAAAGCATAACATGGATTTTCTGTCCAGGCTATTCAGGTGTAACAGGCAACAAGCAGGCTGATAGATTAGCTGCTGCCGACTATCGGGGTGGTGTGCTACTTTGTTATAAAAGCGGACGTGGTGGCGGCTCTTTGAGATCGACTAGACAGTGCTAAAGAGCAGACAGAGAATATCCACACTGAAAGACTGATTCAACGGAAGGTGTGAAGATACTCAACACTGAGGGGGCAAAAGTGGCAGACTTTTAATCAGGTTGTTATTGATACTGTTAGCTTGTCGACTCTTCGTCTATATATGTCAATATATCTTTGTATGTGTGTGTGTGTGTGTGTGTATTATGTGTGTATGTCTTGTGGTGTATGTATGTATGTATGTATGTATGTATGTGTGTGTGTGTGTGTGCGTGCGTGCGTGCGTGCGTGCGTGCGTGCGTGCGTGCGTGCGTGCGTGCGTGTGTGTGTGTGTGTGTGTGTGTGTGTGTGTGTCGCCGGTCGATACAGTATTTGGGTCTGTCTCCTGTGATCTCATCAAAACTGCAGGAGTCCTTTTCAGGGCTCTTGGTGGCGTGCAGTGTAAATCCATTGTGTATGGCGCACATAACCTAGTCACAACTATAACCTAATGCTCCCCCTTCAGGAATTCTGATTGAACGTGACGATGTTGTTGTTGTTGAGCAAAGAGTCGGATCGGAGACATGCTCTCTACATGCAGCAAGGAAACTGCAAGGCAGGTTCTTTCCTATTCCGGTGGTAACTCAACTGTCTCGATCAGTAGTAGACAAACGTCGCAAGGAACATAACTCACATAAACTATTTTGAGATAAAACTGATCAGTTCTTATGTGTAAGCGTTAGCAGGTAACGATTATACAAGAGAGTGTATCACGTGATATTTACCTCAGCACTCTGCTGCTGATACTATGCCTGCACCGCTAGCACAGTAGTACTAGTAACTGGTAACTATCGCACTTTACAGTTATTACATGAGAGGCCAATGCATGCAGCTAAAGTTTTGTTCTCTAGTTCCCGTCCCAATGTGGCACGCAACATTGCTGTATACTAGGCTCCACGTCCTTTTTAGGATGAAGTTTCGTGTTATTTGAAGCCCCACTCTGGCTTTTGCCAGGGGCAGCAATATAGGCAGGCCATAAATACGGCCAATTGTCTGAACGCTGTTTCTGGGACCTCTCCACAGCGATCCTCATCCACATGGTGGCACTTTGTGTCATCGGGTGTTTATCGCTTTTGTGATGTCCTAGTGGGGTAGAAAGTCAGTCATTCAGTCTGTCTGCAACTAAATTTTTCGTTATTGTGAAACTCTACTGCGGCAGTTCTCGGGTACCATAACATAACCTAACGGTTGAACAAGGTTTCTGTGACATGAGTTTGGGTGATCCTGATCCAAATGGTGGCACTTTGTGTCACCAGATGCTTGTCGCTCTTTCTACGGTAATGGTGGGTTGAACGACGCACAAATAGTAACATAATGCATTTTTCTTTCGCAATCGACACAGCTTTTATAGGGGTGCCTAGTTGGTCATATCCTAGTACACTTATTTTGATAGCTAGGCGCGTACGCCATTTGGAGGTGACAGGTTTGATTCCCGTATCGGTAACCATAGCTGTCGATTTTTACGTGGTCTAGTGTGTTCTTTTATCTTTCTACTTCATTCTGTGAGTGAAGATCGATACATTGAAAGTTGTGTGATATATATATATATATATATATATATATATATATATATATATATATATATATATATATATATATATATATATATATAATTTAACAATTGAACATGTCTGGCCGCTGCAAAAGATTTGTGGACTCTTTCATTAGCTGCATTACTGTCTCTTATTGTCTATGCTGATGAAGGCTTTCTAGCCGGAACGTTTATTTTTACTTTCATGCTTGTTTTAATTGTAAGACGGCTAGTTCTACTTCTCGCGTAGGTAGACTTTTTTTTTTTTTTAGGATAAGAAATGTTACATATTAAAGTATTCATACGAGTGACTTGTTTACATCGCGGTTGCAAAAGTTCCATATAGTGTCAAAAAGTTACCATTACCGAATCTCTATCTAGCACGTTCTCATATACACTATAAATACAAGATCGTCTTGACTTACGACGCAGTTCCATACCTACTAAAAGGTCGTAAGTTGGACTAATCGTAAGTCGAATTTATACTTTTTTAACGCGTCTAATTTAAAAGGAATAGATAAACTGTGCATAAAACACAACAATTCAGTCTTAACTGTGTATCTTTATATAACAATTGCACACAATTTAAAAAAATGTGAAATGTACTTGCTACATCAGTTCCGGGAACTTTCTGGGCCTACCAGTGGAGTTATCTTGGTTGTACACTTTCTCCGATTGCTGTTATTCCATCTCTTGATGTTGTCCTTCCACTTGTAACATTGTCCAACTCTTGCTCTCTTGCACGTGACCATTTACCTTAGCATGGTTTTTTAAAAGCGTATCATGTATTTTAACGTGCCAAGAGGGGCAGGGGCCGACCAACACGAAGATGGGCACAGGATATAAGTGACTCCTTGAGTGTGAAAGTTCATGAGGCGGGAGAACTGGCGAGAGACTGAGTTTCTTTCAGGCAGACTGTGATGAGAGCGACGTTCTGCAAAGGACCTGCTACATGATGATGATGATTAGGGGTTGTTTTAATGTGGCCAAGATAATTTAATTGTTTCATTATTAATTTTTTTTAATTCCCAGGAGAAGATTTGACAAATTAAACGCATAATGGCGGAGGCTTTTGTAGGCAAATGGAAACCAGACAATAGTTCCATGGCAGGGGCGCAAGAATACTTTGCAGCACGTAAGATTCTATATATTTTTTTTTTTGTACTTTTCTATTACTCTGAGTGAGAGACTTCCGGTCAAAAATGGAAGATTAGGCACGGCAGAATGTTAAGCTTTAAGGTTTTTTTTTTAAATTTTGGTGCTTCCGATAGCGCCTTGCTAATGCAGTTTCCACACATTGACGGAAGTCTACGGTTTTGCTGCCTGAGCTACTGAGTTTAATGCTTGGTGCAACACTGTGAGCTGAGTTTGTTCATCTGAAATGTCTTTCATTAGTACAGCGGTTGTTTCGTGGTATTCAATACAGCCTGTAGCCGGTTTAAATGTGGGCTGGAGAAATACCTTTTGCAATAATTCTAAATGCGTATAGTCAACTTATCGTGCCCGACTACTTCCATCAACGACAAACTGCATTTCTAGTAGCGTATAATTTTATGCCGAACCTCTTCGTTTGTAATGTGGTCTCTGCATGATATGCCAAGAATTTTTCTGAAACATCGCATTTCTAACTCTTATATCTTTCTTTCAAGTTCAGCTGTTAAGGTCCACATTTCACATCCATATGTTATTGTACTAAGAGCTAGTGCTCTGAGCAATCGAATCTTAGTTTTACATGAAATGTTTTTGGATCTCCATAATGTTTGCTGCTTGGCAAGGACTGATGTTGTCAGGGCAATCCAATTTCTGGTGGTGACCCCAGGTCACTTAAAATGGATCCTAAATATTTGAAATTAGTCACTTGTTCTAATTTGTGACCTTTAACTCTTTGAGACCAAGGGCGTTTAGCATCAGAGACCCAAGGAGTAGTCAAGAGAGGTGTAAAATCGGCGCATCTTGCGTTTATTGGGCCTCTAGGTTGGAACCTATGAACGTATTATGCGTTGATTGGGACAAAGAGTTAACGTAG